CTATCTCCTGTTTAACACAGACCACTTTGTACTAGCCACTCACTCACCTGACACCCTTTATAACCTTGAACTGACTTGTCAATTTTCCTACCCCACACTCTACAAATCTATTATGATTAATCACTATTGTCTCCCATTTTACAATATTTTGTAATCGAATTCAGCCTAGCACGTTTGTCACACAAATACGACTATTTATTTTGACACCCCATAACTAATCTGTTATTCTACGTTAAAAATGTATCCGCCGCATAACTGGCCTTTATTGTAACGACAACAAATATTATATTTTATGATTGTAAGAACCTGAAGAGAAATTATTGAAAAGAATATTCTTCGTTCAGATTGACTTTCAATGTAACTAAATTCTAAACGCGCATTCAACTAGATCTTCTAATCCTAACCCCGAACCCTAATACGAAATCATTCTTAAACTAATAAACTCTAATTATATTTTGATCTATTCTACAATGCTCAAACTTTTTTTACTGACATTAATCCCTAAACTACTCCCCTAATATCTAACTTGAACCAACCCTAATGTTGTCCTTATTAGATTAACGTGACCGTTAGGTTTAGGTTAATCTTAGCCTAAATCTTAACTTAATCTTTCCCAAAGCTAACCTGAAACTTACCAGATCTTTCAGAAAATAACATGATTGTAATATATTATTTGCCAAGTTTCATTCACTAACTTGCTCAGTGAGCGTTTGAAGGTCTCTGGTGCGGTTGCACTCCATTGGTACATACATCCATGCTTAAAGTTTAACTTAGCCGGAAAAAGCCTCCTAAAAATACTTAAAACTACTCTGAGCATGACTGATATTGGTAGAAGGGTAGATTTTTACAACCAAAATAAATAAACATTCACTTTTCTATAGTTTGGTTTGTAAGCGTTAGTTATGTTTTTACGAGTTGATCACGGATTGATATCAGTTAGAGAACCATTGAAAACCTGGGAGTACTGGACAGCTCCTGTTTCATGCTAGTTGGGGTCTCGCTAAATCACGAATTGGTAGAAGTTAGAATTCCTGCACTAGCCATTGAATCGGGTCCAAGTGGCTGAATATTATACGAGCTTGCCTTGTAACCGGAAGGTCGTGGGTTCGAACCCTGGTGGTGGGTGCGTACTGCCGATGGTTTCCGAGCACTAGGATGGAACAGCTGGCTGTCCAGTACTCCAGTACCGGTTTTCAAAGGTTCTCTAACTGATATCAATCCGTGATCAACTCGTAAAAACATTCACTTTGTAAAGATAATAGGAGCTAAGCTTTGGTGCGTCCTACCGTCACCAGTCATAATTTGTTTCCACACAGTAATATTTCTATACGAATTAACAAATGATGTTATCCTACTAATAAGAAGTATTTAAACAGCCTTTCTGTGAATTCATACATGGAATGTACGAATAATGCACCAGCCAAATGGATTTTTTCACTCTTTAGAAAAACTAAATTAGAGAACATGTTTTAAGCATCCGAATCTCTGTTTTCAGGCAAAGGTTTGTTCAATTCCTCTCCCTTTCATGGCCCTGAACCTCAACCTAGAGTAGTTACTACATCAGGTAACACCGGATAACTGTAGATATTATTTTTATTTGTACTGCTAAGTTTATTTCTGTGCTACAGTTGTACATATATTAATCTTATTTTCACAATATATTATTATTGAATTACGTAATCACTATGCGACATTAGTTATTCCCTGCCCCCTACCCCTACCAGTATCTGCATTCTACTTACACATTCACGATCATCTAGATTATATAAATGCTTGAGTGAATCTATTTTTTTTATTCCTTCACGTTCCCAGGGGAACATAGGGTTTCAAGCTAGTGGCTTGAAGTTTCTGTAGCAGTGTTTATTACTACAGGATGGGGTTGCTAACCTGCCTCATGCCCAACCTTTCCTCTTCACATGCTTTTAGTTCTGGTTTAGCAAGATAAAGGAATGTGCCAGCCGGGAATCGAACCCCGGACCATGTTCATGGTCGGCGACCGTCCTAACCGCTATGCCACCGACGCACTGAGTGATACTATGCATGTCATTACTTTCCAAGAGTTATTTTATAGAGATGTGATTAGTTTTAACATTGACCATGGATTGATATCAGTTAGAGGACCAGTGAAAACCAGTTAGGAGCACTGGACATCCGTTTCGTCCTAGCTTAAAACCCTTCATCTGTACGCACCACCCACCAGTCCTCAAACCCGCGGCCTTCCGGCTATTATTATTATGATGATGACCATCTCTATTGTTATCTACTAACTCACATCTACTGATCCATCTTACTTTGAATGCCCGTGTCAAGTGTTGTATTATATAATTGCAAGGCCTATTGAAAACACGTATTTGCCTGCTTAAATCTTGTTCTGTAATTATCACAATGGAAATATTTGAATAGAAAATTGAATTTGGCTGCATTAAATAACATTTTAAAAATGTAAAATCACGAATTGTGGGCCATTCAGCTGGGTCCCAGGGTGCTGGTGAAGAGACCCAAACTAGGACGAAACAGCTGTCCAGCAGTTCCTAATGTTTTCCAGCGGTACTCTAACTGATATCATTTCGCGGTCAGACTTCAAACAAATGTGAAATAGTCGAAATAAGAGAAAGAGATATTAAAAAGGTAACTGATACCTCAGCAACCTAGTAAAATTATGGCGATATAATACATTGCAGAATTCACTGTCACCTTAAATGTTAACATGATAAATTCTTTTGCTACCTTTCGTTATTTCAAATAATGTTTACAAGGTTAGTCAGTTGCTAAACTGACACAAATAGAATCATTATAATACAAGCTAAACATAGTCACCAGTAGAAATTTCGCCGTGGGAAATAAAGAACACACATTTGTTGTATTCCTTTACGTTCAAGGTGGAACATACAGTATCAGAATAGAGCTTTTGAGTTTCAGTAGGACAGGGTAGCTAGCCTCGCGCCCTAACTTCCCCCTTTACTGACTTTACAATCGCCTAAGTGCGGTTTAGGAGTGTGTCAGCCAGGGATCGAACCACCAAACCACTTTAGGCATGGTTGGTGAGCATTCTACCGTTGAGCCAGCGATGCGAAAATTCTAGCCAAATCATTATTATTTTATACTGGAAGGCATGATCTTTATTATTATACATTGGTTCATTAGTGCTACGCTGTTCCGGGTTCGATCCCCGTTCGATGAACTTCTAAACTTCATCTGGCTTACTAGCCAGTGGTCGTCAGCTTGGAAGAGAAGGAAGGCTAGACGTGAGTCTAACAACTCCATCCCGTAAATACAGCACCATCGCCATTCAAACTTCAAAACCTTAAAGCCGCATGTTAAACTCAGAACCGAAGGAATAAACATAAGACATTGGCTTATTAGAAAAGGAAATAATATGACTGGTTTCTCCAACTCCTTCAACCAACGATGTATGCCCCCTATACAGGCATATAAAGGTGTTTTCAAGCACAAGGCTTTCTCTCTGCAATCCCTTTCGATCTGAAGTAAACGCTAATCCCAAATGGTGCTTGTTATTCTCCTTCTTCTCTGAGAAATGCTCACAACTCATTATGCTGGATGGAAATTCAGATAGCTCAGTGAGTGAAGCAGGATGCTTCAAATATTACTAAAATGGGTGGATTATGCGCTTGCCACTTCAAACACTAGGTTGAGCCTTAAAATTAGTGTTTGAAAAATCCCTCCTCAATGATATAATTACAATACTTATATATATACATATATATATATTTAGATGTTTCAACTAACTCCGGAATTACTGTCCGTTTTTCTCCTAAACACTGTATATCATTCTTTTGACATTTGCATACCACATGTTGACTTAATCCTTATTATCATTTGTCTTTGGCGTCGGTGGCATAGCGTTTGGGACGCTCGCCGACCATGCACATGGTCCGGGGTTCGATCCCCGGCCACGGACGCACTCCTTAACCTCGCTAAGCCAGAAATAATGCTAGCAACCCCATCCTGTAAAAATAAGCACTGCTACAGAAACTTCAAGCCACTAGCTTGGAGCCTTATGTTCCACTGGGGAGCGTGAAGGAAAAACAATCATTTGTTTTCACTCTAGTTTAGTCTCTAATTTCAGCGGTTCTCTTTATAGTTCTGTGATGATACTGGTAATGTATTGTTTTCTGATGTGATTTTCTTAGAGGGAATCAAGGTGATTCAGACCTTGGACTGTCTTCCGGAAGTGCTGCTGCTGTGGGTGAGATTCTTGTAGACAGAATTTCGATCTCACTCTGTTGGGAATATTCTACTTGATTCTAGTTTACTTCTTACGGTTGAATTTTCGTTAACTAATTTTTGCTCTGCAGTACTTGTTTTGCCCTTGGAAGTTCCCTTCCCGTAACTGTATAGTTGTATAACGTCACTGTTAAAGTAATTTTGAGTTTCTGATGTTATTGTTGTTGAATACAACCGTATAGCACAGTCTTTTTGCTGTCTTTGGAGCATTTTTTGACTGTGCATATTGCTACAATCAATAACAAGCATAGATTCAATTTATCACTAGTGACTGGCCCTATTCAGGTTGCGTGGTTACATGGGGTTCTAGTGGGAAGCCGTGACAAGAAGAGTACATCAGGTTCAAGGTGAGGACAGTTACTCATTGAAGAAGACATTGCGAAGTGGACGCGCTATATATCGTGACTTGACAGAAGTTAGATTTCATGCACTGGCCATTGGTTTTGATCCCTGTGGTTTAATAGTCTACGAGCTCTCTGACCTTGTAACCAGAAGGCCCTGGGTTCGAACTCCCTATGACGGGTACGGATTGATGAAGAGTCCCAAAGAAGGCTAAGGAAATAGCTGGCTGTTCAGTACTCCATGTAGGTTTTCCAGTAGTTCTCTAACTGATGTCAACTCATGATGAAATCCTGTAACTCAATCAATCAAATCCCTACTTGAAAATCGATTAGGAACAATTAACTTATTATTATATGAATAATTCAAATAAATAATAATAAATTATCAATTCACTAAAAAAGTTCTACTCTTACCTTTAGCAATTTGACATTTACGATAAGCCTGGGAATAGTAGACAGCGATGACCGTAGCAATAATTAAAAATATCAAAATTAATAGAAATAATAAAATAATGAAAAGATATAATAATTTAGAAGTACTATTCTTCAATTGATGACCTTTTCCAGTGGATGCAGGTGACGTGGTTGAATTCAATGGGATGATAACAGTATCCAAGGCATCACCATCTTGATTTTTCGATTGATTCAAGCTGGTCATTTTCACTGGATTAAGATTTGTACTATTATTATTATTATTACTATTATGTGACATAATCAAAACAAAACAACAAACAACAACAAAAAATTCCCAGTGAGTTTTATGTGTGTTTGACTTCTTGACTTTGTGTTTGTGTTTTGTGTTTATGGTTATGGTTATCGCTGGTGGAAATCACGCTCAAAGAGTAAGTAAGCGTTGACTTTAAGATATGAGCTATAAGTTGTATGTTTATATCACCTGGAATGCTAAATAGTTTTGTGCGTGTGTGTGTTAGTGTATGAATTACTCAACAATTGAAAATAGCAGTAGCAGTAATAATAATAGTAATAATACTGACAGTACAGAGGGTACTCCGTTGTTCAAGGATTTGGAGCATTTTGTATTTCATTACTAACAATTAATATGTTTGTATGTATGTGTATATATGTATATATATATATATATATGCAAATGAGTTCAATCAGCTCATTGCTTCTCTATTGGTGTGCTGCTTTCGCTAAAATTGAATATATATGTATGTTATATATGTGAGAGATAACAAGGAAGGTGACAATTATGACTTATAATAATAATAATAATAATAATAATAATAGTATAGTATAGTATACAGAATGAATGAATATATAAATATATAAATATATTCAAGGTTAAAATGTGTTGTAAAGCAGGGAAATATATATGTGGAGATTTCGCCCAATGAGAGTATTCAGCAGAGTTTTAATCCATCCTTCCGCATATTATTAGCATTATTATTATTATTCAGCATTATTGTTTCTTCCTCTATATTTCTAAGTATTAACCCAATTGGGATATAATACTAGTAGTAGTAGTAGTAATAATAATAATATTATGAAAATGTATAATAATCCAGTTTGATTTCATTGATTTAGGCATGTGAATATAACGGGATCAATGAAAGCAATATATAACTGTGCTCCAGTATTTTCTTAATTTTCTTTATTTTATTTTCCCATAGTTATGTTATAGACACTAAAGAACACAATATCTGAAACAGTGAGTGAGGATGATACAACAACGATAACGACAACTGCAACGGCAACGGCAGCGGTAACGGCAAGAACAGTTACACCAACACTCATCCATGTACGGACATAGTGTGTGTGTGGGTGTGTTTATGTTTTGAACTGGTGATTTCACTCGTCGTCCAAACAAACACGAATAGTAACAATTCGATCTATCAGGATGGTCTGTGTGAACACGCACAAACACATGCGCGCGCGCACAACTAAGCATAAAGACAGAGAGAGTGGTTGTGCACACCTTGCAATTCTAATAGGATCAAAAGAGACTTTATGCCTGTCCGTAGAAAAATAGTTTCAACCATTGAGAAAAATTCCAGAATTCGACATATATACACACGCACACACACACACACAACACATGTGTGTGAGTGTACATATTAGTGAAGACAGAGTATGTCTGTCTGTGTTGTTGATTTTCGGTTACAACATCTGTTTGTCCCACACACACAGAGAGTGTTGGCATTCTTCAGCTGGAAAACAGTATGGAAAGTTGTCATCCTTATTTTTCTTTTGTGTTTTTTTGAATTGTCAGTGTGTGCTATTGTGTTGCAGAAGAAAGTGACGGTTCTTTGGCTAGGAAATTTCTAAATATTAAATATTCCCATAGTAAAATTTAGAAAAACACATTTAAGTGAACAATATTGTGTGCTTTCAATTAGATCTCATCAGGTTTATTATTATTATTATTGTTTCCTTTAATTCCTAGAGGAACTATAGAGCTTCAGCCACGCGCGTCTCCATTGCGTTCTGTTCTCTGCTAGAATCTTCACCTGGCTCCAAGTCTGTCCACACGTTTTCATCTCATCTTCACATGACCTCCTTCAAGTCACCCTTGCACTGACGACCAACTCGCCACTTCCCTTTCGAGTTCCATTCGAGCGATGGCTTGTCTAGTGATGTCACTTGATGGTTTGTTTCCTCAGAGTATGGCCAGCCAATCCATCTCCATTTCTTCCTGCCTATTCGTTTCACAATCGGTTCCTGCTGGGTTGGTTCACTCATTGCCAGAGATCCCTGTTGCTGATCTTTTCTGGCCGGTCATCTGATCTTGAGAGAAGTATTGAACGAAGACAGCTGTTGATGAAGGTCTGTAGTTTGTTTGAGATGCTCTTTATGACGCGCAGTGCAAGTCTCTGATCCGTATAGTAGCACTGACTTCACATTGGAGTTCTTGCTTTGATATCCTCGTCAAATCCGCCTGTAGTTGAGACGATGCTTCCCAGGTAGGTAGGTAAAATCGGTTGTTTCTTTCAGGTTCCTCCCATTTATGCTGGCTGATTGTTGTCTGTTGTTGTTGTTCTTGTCCAGGAATCTTCATTGCCTCATCAGGTATAATTAACTGTAATATACATAACTTTACAAATGTAAAATCCAAATGTAAACCAATCATGGTGTTTTGTCTTTAGGATAATAAGATGATGCATGTAAGCTGTGCAATTAGTCATTATAGTAATAATAATAATAGTGGTTCTATTAGTAATAAGGATGAAAAAGTGAGGTAATCTGTGATAACAAGAATAACGTAAAACAGCATGATTAAATAGACAAATGTTCAGGTAGAAGTAGTAGTCGATAAAGACTAAGAAAACCAAATGAGCCGATTAAGTAAAGCTAGATTGTAAGGTAAGTAAATGAAACACGTTTTTAATGAAGATGTGATAATATTAAGGGATGATAAGAGAGGGGTTGCAAATATAAGTAAGGGCTGGTGGTGTTATGTCTTAATAGGCTAACAAGGCAGGGATAATGGCTGTACGAATTTCTTTTGAACGCTTAGTTTAGGTTTAATAGTTCGAATGCCTATCCCCTCAGCTGTGTGCAGTATACGGATACAAAGTTTATTGGAAAGATTTGGTGGGTTGCAATGAATCACCACCTTGAAAGCTCTCGTTTTCTACAATACAAGACCACTATCAACTAAATGTGACAAAATGGAGCTACAGATTGTATTTGTCAATCCTTTGCCAAACCACGCTGAGATATGTTCACTAACATGTCGGCTGAGCTTTCTAGTAGTACAGCCAACATAACTGTCACTGCAGATGCAGCACATAGAAGTGTGGCAAAACTATCTAGTTTATCCTTCGTTTGCGTCCCAATCATTCGTTGGTTGGAGAATGACAAACATATGTGTGCTGCATAAAAAGTTCTTCGTATACTCCTTGAAAGTCTTTGGAATAGAATCTCACTTGATAAGTCACCATTAAATTGTAACTTAATAAATAGAGGTTTCTAACGTGCAGTCAAAGTCTCGGGTTTTATCTCCAATGTTTTCATATATTTTTTATGAAACCCCGTTAAAGAATCGTGAATATGTTCCAATTCCTTTAGTAAGAGGTCATCCGTACATATCTTTCTTCTCTGCTGACCTTTTTTGAAAGTTATGGAAAGACTTATTTTACTTAATCTTGAACCCTCTTTAAAGCCTTTCAATGATCCCAACCAGTTTGCTTATAAACATAGTAGGTGTACCTTAGATGCCACAGTTGTTCTATGTCATAATATAGTCTCTAGTTTAGATAGAGGAGCTAAATATGTTCGGTGTGTCTTCCTTGATTACACATCTGCATTTGACTCTGTACCTAGGTCTCTCTTGTTAAGTAAGCTTGCTGCAACACAGAGTGAGAGCTGGATAAATAAGTGGTTGTATTCCTACTTTTCTGATAGGAAGCAGTACACCGTCTGTAATAGAAAGTCCTCCACTAGCTCACTTACTTTAGCTGGTGTTCCTCAAAGTGCTGTTCTTTCTCCTTTTCTGTTTTCTTTTTTCTTACATGACTTGCCCCATTCTGATGTAGCAAATTTTGTCAAGTATGCTGATGACCTCTCTGTCTCCATGCCTGTCAACTCTCAGTCAGACTGTTCCATATTAAATAACTTTCTCTCGGAAATTAGTCAGTGGTCCTCTTCAAATGGTCTTAAGCTGAATCCGTCTAAATGTCAGGTAGTAAATTTCACTTTCAGACGAAAAAGTGACCTACAACAACTAGCTAGCTCACATGGTCCCACTATCATTGACGGCATAGAGGTTGAAACTACATCTAATATCAAGTACCTTGGACTGAGTATTTCCTCCGATCTTTCCTGGTCCTCTCACATCTTGCTAGTTACTAGAAAGATATTTCGCTTAACTTTCTACGTTAGGAAATTGGGGCAGTCTGGTATAAAGCAGTTTTTGCTTTCTCAGTTCGTCAATTCTTGTATTCTACCCATCCCTCTTTACTGCTCGCCACTAATCTTTCCTGGACTACTTAAGAAGGATTTTGCTTTGCTGAGAAGGATACTTAAAGCTGTTAGTGGGGGAAGTGGGATATAGTTAAACCAACTGGTTAACACTATTGTGGATAGACATATAATGTCATGTAAGAAACTAGCGAATTCTATATTGTCAGACCCCGAGCATCCTCTCTATACAGAGCTCTCTCCTTGCATTTCATCTGGTAGAACTAGAAGCAGCTATAGGAGGCTATATGCTAGGACTACCAAGTACAAAAACTCCACAATACCTTATCTGGCACAGCTGTTATGTGATGAGAAATCCGTTAGGTATGACACGATCAACTTACTGCGGCACTCTAACAAATAGTTCCCATTAGTTTTTGTTTTCCTTTCTGTGTTACTATTATATTGTTGTTCACATCTACTACACACTAATTTCATATTTCATATTCCTGTGGTACATTGTTTAAAATGTGTATGCAACGCTGTTCTTTTTTATTTTTATTTATCTATTTTTTAATTGTTGTTATTTTTTGTTCTTAAAATTTCGTAAAATTTATGAGGTAATTAGATGCAATATTGTAATGGACGCTGAAAATTCCATACCTGTACCACAAATACTGTTTGGAATAAAGCTATTATTATTATAAGATATTTAACATCATTTCTTTTATATTTAATGGGCATATAACTACGAAAGTGAATGTGCTTTTTCTATACACTCTTCTCCCAAGTGACCCATCCTCTCGCCTACTTAACAAGACATCCAGAAAATGTAGTTTACTATCCTACTCCCTGTATTTTTTAATTTTCATACTCAATGAATAGTTTCCTCTTACTTTTATTGATTACCTGACTATTATCACTCTCACATGTTCCTTTTGTACATTTTTACTCACCCTCTTCACACTTGTTAAATTGACACTCAGCCTACATTTCTTCTCAGTCAATAACAGTTTTAACTTTATCGAATTTCTAGCCCTTTCTTCCTTTGTGCCGTTGAGTATTACATAATTTACAACCTTTATTTTTACTTTTGAAGGCGCATCTGAGTAATTATATCAATTATGTCACCTTCCCCCCTATCATTCAATAATGTACTGCACTGATAAACATAAATTCGACTGTACAGCATGTGGAGATGATTTTTAGTCGATAAAGAGAGTCTATTGCGCAACAAATATCCTGATGGAAGTGTACATGGATCGGTCATACACTGAAAGGACTGTCCAGTGACATCATATGTTAGGCTATCGCTTGAGTGGAGCCTGAATGTGAAAAAACCAGCCTAGTTTCTATCCAAAGGTGACATGGAGGAGATCGTGCGAGGAGAAGAAAGCCGAAAGGCACTCGTGGGGCTAGCTGAAGACGATAGCAGAGGATGAAACAAGATGGGAGTGTGTTGTTAAAGCCGTAATGTTCCACTCGGAACCAATGGAAACAACAATAATAATAGTAATAAGCGAATGAATAAAATCTATATAACAAAAAATTTTATTGATTTTGGGATATTCGGTTTGTCCAAAAATATGTAGACACGAGTGAGAGATAGAGAGATGAACGTAGGGCTTTATACACAGTTACATGGGTATGAGATGCCAAATTTCAACAATGCATATCAGAAGAAATTAGTGGGAATAAAATTACATTAAGATGAATAAACATAGGTGGGAAATATAGTAGTTGAATGAAATATCCGAATTCCGAAGACGAAAAAGTGAAAACATTAGAAATTTTCAACTATGTCATGAATTGTCTCCAACCACCCTGAAGATTTTGGCTAAATGAATTACACCTCCTTAGAACTTTTGAACTGACAGGAAACAAATCCATGAATTGTAGCTACATTTTTGTCAAATCA